TAACTATTTCCAAATTTGCTTAAATTAGGCTAAATAGTTATTTATTTATATTATAATCTTATAATAATTCTATATTGCCAGTTATACTAAAGATCAACCATAAATATATTTAATTTCAAATAATTATATATATATTAATATTTAAAATAAGATTTTGCTTTTATCTTTATTAAACTTAATAAAACTTTTATATAATTAAAAAAGGTTTATATTTTAAGCTTAGTGCTAAAAATAAGAACTCAGACATATAACTAGAAATTTAAAAACTTATTTGAGCCTAAATCTAAAGTAATTTTTATATTTTTTTTTATAAATCTATATTATTAAGATATTTTTTAGCTAATTAAATCTAAATTAAATATATACTTAATTTAGATTATTAAATAGAAAAGTAGGAAATATAATGTTATACTAATTCTTTGTACCAATTTAATAGTATGCTTTGATTGTAAATAATAGTTTACTTTATTGTATAAATAATTAGTTAAGAAGTTAAGAAGTATTTATTTATTATTATGATAAACTATAATATACTATCTTATTTCCATACTTGATATTAAAATAAAAATTTTTGTAATTAAATTTATAATTTTAATATTATTAAATTTATTTAATAAAACAATTTATTATAATTATATACAGTCGTCCTCCTCTACAGTCACCTCCTATATAATCACACCCTCTTAATAAGCACTATTTTTTGAATCTTTATAATCACTTTACTATTAAAATTTTATAATCACATCTTTTTTATGTTAAACAAACCGCGTGATTATAGAGGAGGACGACTGTATTATATTTTAAAATATTTTTAAAAATGGTTTTAAATTTGTTATAAATAAAATTTTTAATAAATTTGTTATTATATAAATTATTTTATTAAATACTTTAAATAATGCTAAAAAAATTTTTTACAATATATATAATAATTTGATTTAATTTGGTTTAGTGTAGATAAGTCTTTACTTTAGTAAGCCACTATAATTGTATAACTTTATTATTAGTTTTGCATATAATAGCCTTATAATAAATAAATATAATATTTATTGCCGTCTAATTTGATATTTTGAATTTATTTATTTATAATAATCTTACGTAATATTCATTAGAAAAGAATTTTTTACCATAAATATAAAACGGTTGTCAAATGGAGCACTCTAAAACATATAATAAAACATATAAACTACTCCAATTTTAAACTGGAGCGGTTTATATGTTTTATTATAGCTTGGAGTACTCCATTAACAACCCTAGTTTAGAGATGTCTGTTTTAACAAGTCGCGTATGGTTGTTGGTAAAAAGTTTTTATTTTATCTTAATGTAAAGTATGTTAACGTACGCAAAGTGTGCTGACGTGTGTAAAATATGTTAACATACGCAAAGTGTGCTGACGTGTGTAAGATATGTTGACGTGTGTAAAATATGTTGACGTGCGTAAAGTAGTTGATGTTGATAAATCAAACGACAAAATAACATATTTTTTCATGATAATAGATACATGATAACGGATAAATTTCAATCGTTTCAGATAATAGATCTTTCAAACCTTTTTTAATCTCGTATTTTTTAAAACTTGTATTAAACTTTTAAATGCATCTGACAATTATCAAATGTATTACCACTGACGAAAGTTCTTTTCTTATAACCAAACTAAAAAAAAAAAAAAAGAAAAAAAAAAAAAATCAAAGCGAAACATTACATGCGAATATTAAAAGAAGATATCTAATACTTTTTTTTTTTTTCTATCTACAGTTTATCTATGCATATTTGTTGTTGTTCGTCAACAACGCTAGAACTAAAATCCTTTTTTTTTTTATTTTCAAAGATTCCTTTATATCCAGAGTTTTTATATTTAGTAGTACTAATCATCGTTATTAGCTTGAAATGTTTATAAACTATCATCAACAGTCTATAAATCAACCAAATCAACATTAATGATAATAATGTTGAGGTATATTAATGTCAAATACGATTAATGATTCAGAAGTTATAGTTAAATAAGATGAAATTTGTAAGAAAAAAAAACAAGTAATATTACTAATGAAATGATACTTACGATATTTGAAGAGGAATCAGATCCGTTAACTAGTTGACAAGACCGAGAAGCTTGCTTTTGCCAAAATTTTTCAAGAAGAGCCGTAGCATTTCTGAGGTTTCGAACAGGTTGCCAATCTGGTATCAAATTAGTATCTTATATAATAAATAGTTTATAAAAGAAAGTATTATAAATAATCTTAGTATATAAAAAAAAAAAGAAAACTTGAATAAAAACAAAGAAACATTATAATAATATTAGAACATTAAATGAAACCTTTATAAGCTAATAATGCGTATTCTTCATCATCATTATTTCTAATGGCTAAAATATCAGATACCATAACTTTTTTAAAACCAAGTTCTTCTCGTCTTTTAGTACAGTTTAATGAATTATTGATATTGGAACGTAAAGAACGAGTTCTGTTCGAAGTATTACTTTTATATTGAGCGGGTGTGTGATCCCTTTTAGAAATAGCTTTTTTTTTAATCCTATTTGATTTTATATCATCACTAATATATTTAAAGGGTATCCAATAATTAGATATAAACAAATATAACCTTTATGTGTGATAGATATTCTTTGGTATATAAAGTTCTTTCCTTTCATTTATAATATGCAACTTACTTTCGTTTATCGTTTCCTTGCATTTGCTTACGAGTTAAAAGTCTTGTAGCATAAGTCATTATTACGAATAAGGGGTATGAAATTTTTTTAAGTAAACGAGGTTGTTGCTTCAGTAAACCTTTTTATAAGGACATAGACACGCGTTCACGTGTATCAATTTCTCAATGTAGCTGATTGTATTACGTTAAATCCGGTATTTTACTGGTTAAATTATATTTCTACCAAAAAGAATTTTTATTTTAACGTTTTTAAACCGCAAAACATATTTCTCTCTACTATTTATAGACGAATGTAAATTTAAAGAGTTTAGAAAAGATTACACAGTACTGTATACATTATTTATAATTCTAAATTTAAATATATATTATTATTTCGAAGTGATAACTATTTGTTTGATTAAGAGATTTCCTTTTATCACAAAACATCATTATAGTTGTTATGCGATACCTAGAGGTTTTATGCTGATGAAAGCGAAACCTAGTTTCGTCTTTCGTCAAATAAAAGCCTCAAATGACGAAATTATGAAATTATGAAATTGATGAAATTGATGAAAAGTTACAAAAAAACTGACGAAATCTAGAGAAACTGGTGCATCCAAAAATATGTATCAAGTTTATACGACAATAATACAGTATTATGTATGATCTAGTAACTTTTTTTTATACAAATAATAAAATAATTTTTCATTTTGTTTGTTTTTTTGTTAGTTGTATCTAAATATATAAACTTTAGTAATTTAAATAGTAATTAATTTAAATAGTAATTTATCAGATTTACCCGTTCAATTTTTAACAGACCCATTTTTCGCTGACATTAAACACTTCAAGAAATGTTATAAAGTTCTAAATCTTTATCAATAAGCTCTGTTTCAGTAGAATTCTCCTCCGCAAATAGAAATGAATTATTCTCTATAAATAGAAACGGAAAAAAAAAATAAGTACCGAAATGAAAGTGCAGTAACGTTTTATTAAGCATTGTTTACCAATTTAACCTTAATATTTTTTATTTTTTTTATAATTTTGAGGAACTAATATAGAATTCGGTTTTTAATTTAGTTAGTTAATTAATTAATTAATTAATTAATTAATTAATTTACTGTACTAGATCTTTAAAAAAAAAAAAAAATGGTAATCGAAAAAATTAAATATTTTGTCTAGTCATAATGACATACTAGCCTGGTACACATATTCTGGATGCTAACTGGTGAAATTTACGAGCTAAACAGGGCTGATAAATAGCAAAGAAATCCAAAAAGCTAGTACTAGAGAGATTTGAACAATTTGCCCCAACAAATACATTAATTACAAAAAACAACTAGGATGTTAGTCATTTGTGTAGTCTAATAAATACATGATGATTATAAACGAATGCCAAGTGAAAAGCAGAAATTTTAAATTTTATTTTCCCGAAGCGTAGTGGAGAACACACTACTTTTTCTTCTCACAACGTCCATTTACAATATCCAATCAAAATTCCGAGCCAGGTGACACGGCATATTTCTCTCAAGTAAAATTAGTCACGCCTATGTCCGGTGAATAATGATCTAGGGTTTCACTTAACGTTAGTGGCACTCACTCAAATTCCATGTTTGGTGTTTTTCTCGGTGACACACATACATAAAACGGTATACATATATATATATACATATATATATATGTATATATATATTTTTTATCTAAGCCTACTGTATCTAAATAACCATAGATTGATGTTTAACGTAACGATAAGTCTCATTACTATATAAATATATATAAAAAAACTAACGCTTTTCAGTGTCTTAACAGAATACCTTATTTTGAATATAGTTATCCTTATAAATTTCACTTGGTCCAGACTTTCACTAGGATTTAATTAAGATTTCATCGGTTTTCGCCTTTCATCATTTTTTGTTAGAGAATTTCTGTCATTCATTTTTCATTATTACGAAAAAAAGGTTCACCTAATACTATTATTAACAAAATGAGATTTCATATTCTTGGTTCTGATTATCTTGGCAACATGATAGCACATTATCTCCGGAAGCACAATCATCAAGTTACTTTACTATTTCGTACACCTGTTGCATTAACACATTTTGAAAATCGTAAACGAAAAATAACAGTAATGAGAGATAATGAAAAAGATATTGAACAAAGTTACAGTTATAATACAGAAATTTTACGTAGATATAATAAAAATGAATTATTAGATCAATATTTTCATTATGAAAATTATTCATCAAAATTACACCAAATTCAACGATTAATAGTTACAACAAAATCTCATGAAATTAGTAATTCATTTCAAAAAATTTTTTATCGACTTCCACCAACTAGCACTGTAATTATAATATCTCGTGGTATGGGAATTTATGAAGAATTAATGGAAAAATTTTTTTCAAATAATGAAACTTTAAGACCAAATATTTTACTTGGTACATCTACACATTTATGTTACGGTATGAAGAATGTAGATAGTCCATTTGATATCTTTCATAGTGGAGTTGGAGGTATTGACATTGGAGTTATGCCTAGACGTGATGAAAGACGAAATGAAAGATATAATGAAAGACGAAATGAAAGATATAATGAAAGACATAATGAAAGATATAATGAAAGACGAAATGAAAGATATAATGAAAGACATAATGAAAGACGTTATGAAAGACATTATGAAAGACTTGATGAAAGACTTGATGAAAGACTTGATGAAAGTAAAGGAAACTTCAAAAGTTCAGGAATATCAACATTTTCAACAGAACAAGAATTAACAAAAAATAAAAGAGAAGGAAGTTCTTTAGGTACAACAATAAAAGCTTTAACACAAATTAGAGAATTACAAATAAGATGCATTAATGTATTAAGTTTACAAAATCGACTATTGGAGAATTTAGTACTTAATGCGTGTATTAATCCACTTACGACGATTTTTAATATGCGTAACAGAGGACTTTTATTTAATCCTGGAGCAGATCGAGTTTTACAAGCATTATGTAATGAATCAGCTCAAGTGATGCGAGAACATAGAGAATATTTAGGTATGAAACCATCGAATAAATTTGGACCTGGAAGATTAGTTGATGCGATACAACAAATTTGTCAAGAGACAGGCTCACGAAAATCAGATATGTTAAAAGATGCAAAGAGACGATATATTACGGAAATTGATTATTTGAATGGATATCTGGTGAAGTTGGGTAAGATTTATGATATACCTACACCATTACATCAATTAGTGGTTGATATGGTCTACTTAAAACATAGGCTATTGTCTGGTCCACGGAACAATTTAAAAGAACAATATCTTACAAAATAAAATTAAATTTGATTGTAAAATTAAATTTCATTGTAATATACAAATATATATAAATATATTATATTTATAAAAGACGATTTTATCTGATTATCAGAATTACAGTATCAATTTTTTATATATATTTGCGATTTGTATGAACGTCAAAAAACGTAACTTTGAATTCTTTGTCGTCATTCGTATATTGTGCAACGTATTACTGTATAAATAGTAAACCAGGAACGATATTATATAGTTATTGCATACGAAGTATGCAATAACTGCTGTATTTTATGGACGATGATGATTGGTTGGTAACCC